TGTCACGTCTGTTCCTTGATCTCTGCGTCACCGACCATTTGATATTCATGTGACAGAAAAAATTCTAAAATAAAAAAACGTTATGGTCCAGCCGCGGCCGAAAAATCAATAAGCAACCTTACTACGCTATAATCGATAATCGAGCGGCGAGCTACTGAAAAGCTGCCCGCGAGCTACCGGTAGCTCGCGATCGACGTGTTGGAGAGCCCTGCTCTATATGCATTGAATAAAAACTGATGATTATTTGCGATGCATTTATTTGAAGCAGTATTTTATTGGTGTTGCTGGTTAAGATGAGTATGATGTAACTATTTGATAGACTAATATGTAGCTTTATCAATAATGCCGTGCCACATTTGATAAGCTATTTGTTTTGAATGTAAAGTAGTGAAGTGGGAGTTTAAACTAACAGAGATTTCATAAGTAGAGCTACTTCCTTAGGCCCGGGCAGCCGAAAAATATGTTTTGTGTGCACAATTTTGGGCCTTTGGGGACTCCGTAGAATCACCGCAGACAATTAACATTTCAGGAAGTTACTTTGGAACTTATTTTTTGCTAAATGAAAGTTAAAACGTTTCACTATCACTCATATCACTTTGTCTGATCTCTCTCTCTCATCTCTCTCTCTCCTCTCTCTCTCATCTCTCCTCTCTCTCTCTCTCTCCTCTCTCTCTCTCTCTCTCTCTCTCTCTCTAGCTATTATCTACCTCTTGTATAACTGGTCGGCCCCACCTGCATTAGCACAATGGACGAAATAAATACATTCAAGTAAAACCACTTTCCAGCAGTCAGCAGCACATTGTAAAAGCTGTTGATACAACTGTTCACATTCATAATTAAGTAAAGGTAACACCCTTTTCACCCCGGTTACATTTTCCATTTCCCCTGAGAGGCTCAGTGAGGTAAAGGACTCTGAGTGTTTAGATAGTTCACTTTAGTCTAAGTTATCTCAGTGGGTCTCAAACGGTTTGATCACAATTTTTTTTTTTTATTTAACCTTTATTTAACCAGATAAAAAACATTGAGATAAAATCTCATTTTCAATGCTGACCTGGCCAAGAAGGCAGCAACGTTACACATAACACATAACACAAACATATAAAATACAGAGAACATAAAGAAAACAAAAGACGAAAAAGCAGTCACTACATTGTGCACATTAGGACAATAAAAAAAGTACACTACTTGTTACTGCAAGAGCAGCTGGTGGTGAGGACTTCAGACAACTTCAATTTAAAACATGAAATAGAGACAAGTGCCCTCAGTTTGAGGCGTGATTGAAGGTCATTCCAAGACCAAGGACCATAATAAGAAAGACTCCTTTTTCCAGCCTCAGTCCGTACAGTAGGAACCTGGACCCGTATCCAGGCACTGGGTCTGAGGTTGTAAGAGTCACAAACTGGAGCAAATCTGACACATATGTAGAGTGGAAGCTTACCTAAAATGGCTTTATACATTAATAAAAACCAGTGCTGCATCCTATGCATAGTAAGTGAGGACCATCCAGTTAGGGTATACAGTGTGCAATGATGAGTCCTATAGGGTGCATTTGATATATAACGCAGTGCAGCATGGTAAAGTGGGTCAAGTTTGGCCAAAACAGTGGGACAGGCAAATCTATAAATGGTATCACCGTAGTCCAGCTGGGACAGGAATAAGCCAGAGACCAACCTTTTACGGGATGAAATTGAAAAACAACATTTAAATCTGAAAAGGAAGCCAAGAGTGAATTTCAATTTCTTTGTTAAAACTTCAATATGGTGTTTAAAGTTCAGATTACTGTCCAACCAAAAGCCCAGATATTTGTAGGTATCAACAAATTCAACAGAAACGCCATCAAGGGTGTCAATGGAGAGGCAAGAGGAGGACGCTGACTTGGGAGCAAAAAGCATTGCTTTGGTTTTCTTACTGTTCAATAGCAGTTTAGAATCAAGAAGCGCATGCTGCAGCGTGATAAAATCTGATTTTAAATTGGAAACGGCCATATCCAGAGAAGGAGCACACGAGTATACAATAGTGTCATCAGCATACATATGATAGGTAGAAAATTGCATCTGATTACAAATAGTGTTTACATATAATGAAAAGAGCAAGGGCCCCAAGATAGAGCCCTGTGGAACTCCCTTCTCCAAGGTGACAGGGTCAGAGACAGTACTACCCAACCTGACGCATTGAGTGCGGTCGGTTAGATAACTCTGAAACCAGCAAATGGCATTGTGACCGAAACGAGACACCAACATAACATTAGACATAATGTGGTGATCTACAGTGTCAAATGCTTTGGCTAGGTCAATAAACAATGCAACACAAACTGATTTCTTATCCAAAGCAGCCTTAATATCGTCTAAGACTTTCAGACTGGCAGTCACAGTACTGTGCTTTGATCTGAATCCAGATTGCATAGGGTTAAGGATGTTGTGTGAATTTAAAAAAAGTTTTAGCTGAGTAGAAACAAGGGACTCAAGAATCTTTGATAACACAGAAAGATTTGAGATAGGACGATAGTTATTCAACTCCGTGGGATCACCAGCTTTCAAGAGGGGCGATACCAGAGCTTGCTTCCACACAGCTGGCAGTGTGTGAGTGGACAGGGAGAGATTAAAAATATCAGTTACTGGTTGTGCTATCATCTGAGCTGCAATTTTTAAAAAGAACGGGTCAAGGCCGTCAGGCCCGGCAGACTTTTTAGGATCAATCGAGTGCAAACCCTGTAAGACTTCAGAGACCGAGAAATAAGCTAAATCAAAAACAGGGGAGTTCAACTCTTGACTATGGCTGTGAGTACGACCATTTAGAGAGTCATGACTTTGCTCATCAAAAATGTGACCAGCCTTTTTGAAGTGAGCATTAAAGGCATTAGACATACCATCTGAATCTGAAATAAAAGAATCATTGACCTTCAGTTTTTGTGGGAAACTAGAAACCTTCTTGTTCTGAAGTGATTTAATTGTTTTCCAGAATTTGGAATGGTCATTAAAACAATCAGTGGTTAAGCTCAGATAGTAATCAGCTTTAGCTTTTTTAATAAGGGCAGAACATTTATTTCTGAGGACACGAAAAAGAAGCCAGTCATCACTAGTGTTAGACTTTCTAGCTAAGGACCATTGCTTATTTCGATCATGAATGAGATCAGATAGTTCTCTAGTAAACCATGGAGTGTTCCTATTCTTAACTCTGAATTTTCTAAGGGGGGCATGTCTATTAATAATCGATAAAAAGTGATCAATAAAAAATTGGACGGCAACATCAACAGATGGAATTAACGCTGTGAAGTGCCATTTAACCTCCGCCAGATCGTGTAGGAAAGCCTGCTCAGAGATGTGTTTACATACAATTTATGTAAACACATATTTCCAAGGCACTCCTTTATAATTATTAGGATAAATAAAAACAGGTTTGAAATCATTTCAATGTATACTATAGGACAGTAAACCAGCAATATCCTTTAAAACTGGAGAGATTAAAAAATATGGATAAATAAATAAATAAATGTTAACTGGTAAAATAAGATATAAATGAACCAGCAAAAATCTTGCCTAGGGCAGCAAACTGGTCAGAACCGGCCCTGGTGTCATCCCCACAGCACGCCCCATTTGAAACATGTTCCCACGGCTATGTACAACCAGTGGCGACTGGAGAGGACTCTTTAAAGTAGAGACACTACATACTGATATACACCTGAACAAAGTGTTCTAACACTGCACTGTATTAATACTCTGTTACAGTGAAAGTACTAACACTACACTGTATTAATACTCTGTTACAGTAAAAGTACTAACATTACACTGTATTAATACTCTGTTACAGTGAAAGTACTAACACTACCCTGTATTAATACTCTGTTACAGTGAAAGTACTAACATTACACTGTATTAATACTCTGTTACAGTGAAAGTACTAACAGTACACTGTATTAATACTCTGTTACAGTGAAAGTACTAACACTACCCTGTATTAATACTCTGTTACAGTGAAAGTACTAACACTACACTGTATTAATACTCTGTTACAGTGAAAGTACTAACACTACACTGTATTAATACTCTGTTACAGTGAAAGTACTAACATTACACTGTATTAATACTCTGTTACAGTACACTGTAAAGGAACTCTGTGACGCGTTGTTTAAATATCACGGAAGGAGAGGGATGGGTTCAAAAACAAAATAGAGTTTATTCCAAAAAGTCAGCCACTTAGGCAAACAACAGAAAACAAACACAGTCTTCCTTTATTCTGGGAGGTGTTGTAATCGGTCCGTCCTCTCAGGAACCGGCCTATTGCAAGAGGGACCGGAACCAGGTTACCAGAGTGCTCTCATGTAGTGACTTATTACCTGATCCGATCAGCTGTCTGGCCCCCACTCCCATGTCTCCATCAGCCGGCGCACTAACAAGGCTCAAGGTTCAAGGCTTTTATTAGTCATATGTGCACAGCTGGCGATGAGGTCACAGGCTCCTCCAACAGAGCAACACAATAACACAGATCAACAGAAAAAAAATAGTGCAAGTAAATACAAAAAGAAAAATAGTAAAAAAGTGAAATAGTGAAATAGTACAAGTGATTGGATTTGATATAATAGATACATCATTTCTAAGTAGCAGCCAGATGAATGTTATGATGTTGTTTCAAAAGTTCATACTCTTTATGACTTTTGAATATGTTGTGTGTCTTTTCCTGACTGTGTGCACGGCAGTAATCTGTAATTATTAATGGTAGCACTCTGAAGTGTGTGTTGTGTAGTGTGTGGTGTGTAGTGTGTGTTGTGTAATGTGTGTTTTGTAGTGTGTGTTGTGTAGTGTGTGTTTTGTAGTGTGTGTTTGATGTATTTTATTCCAAAGCTTTAACTGGTGGAGGGTTGGGATCAGACAAGTGTGTTTGAGTTTCTCTGGGTAGTAAAAAAAAACTGCACTGGGCATCTAAACCTCTTAGACCGCTTCCTCCATCTCATGATGACGCACATTAATGATATTTACCAACAGGGCGTGTTGGCAGGTGGGGTTTATCTTCAGTCTCTAGCTGTACTCTGTCAGCTGTAATAGATCATCCTCAGAGGAGAGCCAGCTGATCATGGAGGCTGAATGGAACAGGAGGGGAACTTACGTTCACTTTGTAAAGAAGGAGCATCTGAAGCTGGATGATTTGAGAAAGACAAAGGGCTTAAATAACAAATACCTCATAAAATATGACGAAATCCCAGAATACCCACGACCAGAGATCCATGTGAGCCACCTGAAGCACGACACTGACAGACAGGGTTTGAACGGCATCAAATATTCCGGAGGCTTCAAGGACCCGTTTGGAAAAGGCCTGGTGTGGTGGGGTCTGGTTGTTGGGGGGGAGGAACTCAGATCAGCTGAGCAGCGCCTCCTCCAGGAAACAGAGCAGCAGGTCCAGGTTCAGCAGAGCTTCCTGGGGGAGTTTGCCTCCTCACCGGCCTTCAAGAAGAGCTCCAGGCTGGGATCGTACCGCTTCACCTTCCCCCTTCAGGAGCTGCTAGAGGCCTACAGTCTGCAGGTACTGAGGTCAGGGTTTAGGACTCATAATGCTGACTCATGTCAGGGTGTAGGACTCATAATGCTGACTCATGTCAGGGTTTAAGACTCATAATGCTGACTCATGTCAGGGTGTAGGACTCATAATGCTGACTCATGTCAGGGTTTAGGACTCATAATGCTGACTCATGTCAGGGTTTAGGACTCATAATGCTGACTCATGTCAGGGTTTAGGACTCATATTGCTGACTCATGTCAGGGTTTAGGACTCATAATGCTGACTCATGTCAGGGTGTAGGACTCATAATGCTGACTCATGTCAGGGTGTAGGACTCATAATGCTGACTCATGTCAGGGTTTAGGACTCATAATGCTGACTCATGTCAGGGTTTAGGACTCATAATGCTGACTCATGTCAGGGTTTAGGACTCATAATGCTGACTCATGTCAGGGTTTAGGACTCATAATGCTGACTCATGTCAGGGTTTAGGACTCATAATGCTGACTCATGTCAGGGTTCAGGACTCATAATGCTGACTCACGTCAGGATCCAGCTATCGAAGGGGCTGGTACTCAACAACATGCAGTTACAGCATTTCCATAAGTGACTCTTTGGCATACCGTGACTTTAATTTGCATACTGGCACTCCTCACAGGCTGCCACTACTTTTACTCTCGAATCATTTTCAGATGTCAGGGTTTAGGACTCATAATGCCATTCCATTAATATAAGTTTATCATTTTGTTGAATGATTTTTCCACGTGATTCTGTGATTCTGTGTAAAAGCTCTTCTTCTCTCTCCAGTTTTGCGGCGGTGAGCAGCCCCTCATGCGGGTGTATGAGACCCACCTGTACAAACAGGAAGTGATGTACGCTGTGCTGGTCCACAGTCCGGCCAATCAGGAGCAGTTCTCTAAATATCCTCTTCTGAGCGACGACCCAAACGCTGTCTGCTGCTACAGAGATGGCCGCTTCATCTGGAGGCCTGAGGCCATGTGTGAAACTCACAGGTGAGAAAACAACAATGACAGGTAACCTGGGAGGTTCAGACAGGGAATGCGTTATGGATTGACTTCCTGTCTCTTTGTCAGCTACGAGTTGTTCCGGAACGATGAGACTCAGCAGATGGAGGCTCGGCCCTACGAGCCCAACTGGAAGGCCCCGTACTACGTCTGGGATAATGTGGGCATCGCTCTGCATGTGAAGGACAAGGTGATCACTTCCTCTTTGTTTTCTTGTCCACAGCTCAGCGTCAGGCTTTTCTCTACATTTCATATATTTATATATTTCCAGGATAACTTTGTAGGACTGATCAGAGTGGATCTGGTCCGTCTTCTTCAAGGACTCGTTTCAGAGTTTAATCTCAGCTCCTTTTCTCAGAAGCACCACGGCCATGTTATTAAGGAAATACAAAATATATTCAAAAAGTGAAACATGTCGAGAAGAAAATGTGTAAAAGGAAAGAAAAAAAAAAAAAAAATCTTATAACGAAAGAATACTTGAAAAACCTTCAAAAACATCTGAAAAACAACTTTTAAAGATAAATAACAGTCAGAAAAATATGAATAACATTTTTACACTAAATGGAGAAAATTCCACATAAATGTATATATAGAAATATAGAAATGTGGAAAAACTATATATATATATATATATATATGTGACAATGTAAAGGGCTTTCAATCGATTAAAAATGTAATTGAAATGTATTCATTGGGATTTCCATAGTTTCCAAATGTTTTAAAGGGAAATCTTTCAGGTTCAGAAAGCGTGCACGTGTTAAAAAAATGAAAGTTGTTTTATTAACACATTGACTTTTATCATCCTAATATTTATTCATAAATAATATGATTTAAAAAGGATTGTTAAGTGACGTGTTCCCAGAGGCTCATGGGAGTTGTAGTTAATGATGGGGTCCATGTTGCTGAATCTGAACTCTTCCTGTTTCAGCTGCTGGAGTTCGATCCGGTCCGACTGAGAGAGAAACTGAAGTTCTGCACAGGAGAAATACTCAAAACACAGGTCCAGTTTGGAGTCAGGCTTCTCCACTCTAAGGTCCAGTTTGATGAATTCCCGTTAGCCGAGGAGATTGTTCGGAGTCTTTGGCCTGAAGACCCCTCCCCACTGGAGAGAGATGAAGACCCCTCCCCACTGGAGAGAGATGAAGAGCAGGACATTAATAAAGCAGAATAGATCAGAGTTTAGATAAGCACATCCTGCCTTCACTGAACTAACATTACATTCAGAGTTGGAGCTAAATATTGGTTTATCTTATTTTACAAGTAAACATTTATTTTCTAGCCGTTTTTGTTTTAGTGAATGAATCATTATTTATCGTAATAATTGTAGTTGCAGTAGTTTTGCTTTTATTTTGAAGGAGGTGTGGGCTCCTGGTGATTAGTATATATTGATCACAGGTGGTGGGGGGGGGACGCACCAGTTTGAGCATATGGTTTTCTACAAGGAGCGACAGCCAGAGAGGGAGAAAGGTGAAAATCATTGATCTCTGTATTTTATTGGAATACTACAATAAACGGATGAAAGGATGTTCTGCCTGGACATTGGACTTTATTCCCTGCGTAACATTTGCTTTCTGGGCCCAGCGGCAGTTTGAGTTTAAGTTAGATTATTATTGTATTTCTTTAGTTAGCCTTAGCATTCAGGATGATCAGGATTCACCAAACCAAGGGTCCAAATCTGGCCAGGACACTTTGGGGAAATATCTAACAGGAACATTTTGATTTCTTTAGATCACATTATTCACACTTATATCAATAATCAGGGTTTTTAAGACTTACATATAAATATTCTAAATAACTAATACAAAAAGTACATATAAATAATGTAAATAAACACCACATATAAATATGTATAAGCAGGCAGTATACTGTAAATTTAGGAGTATTAAAGGAGTGAAATAACTACAGATATTATGGGATTAAGATGAAACATGGTTCATATTCAGGAGGATTTATCTCCAGGTTAAAATGTTAAAGTGTCTCATTTATTGATAACAATTAAACCTAATATTAGTTGTAACTCTGGTGGAATCAGTAGAAAATATACTTTTCCAATATCATCTAAAAGATGGACGTTTTTAGGAAAATGTAAATGTAATTAATATAAATGAAATGAAACTCCATATTTTAAACATGATGCCGCCCCCTGCTGGCTCTCATAATACTACACTGTATTAATACTCTGTTACAGTGAAAGTACTAACACTACACTGTATTAATACTCTGTTACAGTGAAAGTACTAACACTACACTGTATTAATACTCTGTTACAGTAAAAGTACTAACACTACACTGTATTAATACTCTGTTACAGTGAAAGTACTAACACTACACTGTATTAATACTCTGTTACAGTAAAAGTACTAACACGCACACACGCATAGGAATGTTAAGAGACAAAGAAATGATAAACATTCTGAGAGGCCGACTACAAAAGGTAGACTCAATGGCTCTTGATGACCTCAATGAGCAGTGCCAATACATGCTGTGGTATAAAAAGAAATAGATTTCTTCTATTTTGTGATGATTTGTTTTATTGATTGCTGATGGATGTATATATATATATATAGGGTTTATTGAACAGCAGTAAAGCATTAAGTTGCTAAATGAACGTACACTGAACTGTAAAACAACTTACCACTATTTAGGAAAGGCTCTGATCAGGAGGGTTGACTAGTAAGACAGCAAAGAGGTGGAGGAGGTCTATGTACAACCATTGGTAGATGTTACACCTGAAAGGAAGATAAGGAAATAAGAGAAGACAGGAGGACAAACATCCTCTTAAGTAAAAGACCAAATCATGTCAAGCTTTAACCTGAGCCTGTTTTTTCAGTCTTTACAATGCACTGTTGGAAATTACATTCCAAAGGCTCAATTCAAACTCAATACCATAAATAACTGGGTACCAAAGTGCTTTACCTGATAGAACACGTTCTGCACGGAGCAGCAACCATCCGGCTCGGCCTTTTGCTGCATATCATCTCCTCCTTCTCCACTGTTTCCAGTAGATCTCTACTGTCCAATAAAACTGAAATTCCCCAAAAAATCATATTAAAAAAGTTAAAAACAATAACTTGCTTTTGGCATTGAAATAGATTAGAATCTCACCTTTTTCCTGGATGTCAGGAAGGCCAGGAAGTCGTTCCCTTCAAGTCCGCAACCAGTCATAGGAGTTCAAATGCAAAGCCTGAACGATGACAAGAGCGAGAGACTTACATTTTACAACTAGAGAATGCAATTCCTGAAGAAATTGCTAGTGGGAATGCTTTATGCTGAAAAGCTGACGCTAAACTGCTATGCTGAAATGTAATGTGTAAGAAGAAAGTGAAGAATTTAGATTGAAATGATACATGAACACTGGGGGCTTGAATGTGTGATGAGAGAAGAAAAGAAAGTAAAAAGGCTTGGAAAAGCAGCAGAATATTTGAACTGCAAACTTTTGAACTAACTTGATGGCGAATGATCTGTCGCCATGGCAACGGCATTTGATGACACCCCATAATACGCTTAGATGTGTTGATGGCTGCATCGTTACCAAACCTGCAAAGTTTTGGGCCGTTGGGCCAGAGAGAGAGAGAGAGAGAGAGAGTTTGTGAGAGAGAGAGAGAGTGTGTGTGTGTATGTGTGTGAGAGAGAGAGAGAGAGAGAGAGACTGTGTGTGAGAGAGAGAGAGAGAGAGTGTGTGTCTGTGTGTTTGAGAGAGAGAGAGAGAGAGATAGAGAGATAGAGAGAGAGAGAGAGAGAGAGAGAGAGAGAGAGAGAGAGTTTGTGAGAGAGAGAGAGAGTGTGTGTGTGTATGTGTGTGAGAGAGAGAGAGAGAGAGAGAGAGAGAGACTGTGTGTGAGAGAGAGAGAGAGAGTGTGTGTCTGTGTGTTTGAGAGAGAGAGAGAGAGAGATAGAGAGATAGAGAGAGAGAGAGAGAGAGAGAGAGAGAGCGAGAGAGAGAGAGAGAGAGAGAGAGAGAGAGAGAGAGAGAGAGAGTATGAAATGAACAGTTAGAACTGACTGCTGTCAGTTGGAGTGATGACATCATCGTGTTCCATTACACAGGTGTTTATAGTTGAGCTAACGAGCTCTGTAGAGATCAAAGGTTTGCATTGTTCTGAATGAGAGATGAATGTCTTACATGTGAACGTTTTGTGGAAGAACCATAACAGATATCTGTGAAATTTCAAAACGTGAAGCATGTCAAGGAAGTTGAGTATCTGAAGTGTAATTTTTGTGTACTTTCGGGTTAATAATGTGGCCTTTTTGGCAGTTTAACTAAAGGTGTGCGGCTGCTGCTGTGAGGAAATATCAGCCTGAAATTACAATGGGTTTTAATGGAGACATGTTGAACGTTTTTGTCACTTCATGCCCTCAAGAGGCATTTTGTTTAATTATTTGTCATTTTTCAAGCTACGAGATGTTTTCCTATGTTTGTCATGAAAAATTATGTCTCAGGAATGTAGGGTTTGGGAATTATGGCAGTTTTAAAGAAATATATGAAGGCAAATTTCAAGATTTCCTACCCTCTAGCTGTGACATCACGCACTCTAGTTAATGTTAAAATCTGAAGAAAACCTCTTTAACAAGGTCTGAACAATGTTTAATATCTCTAAAAGTAAGAATCAGATTTAAAAGTTGTGTTACACGAATAATGTCAGAAAGATGTGTAACATTTTAAAGTTGGAATGAGGTGTCTGAGTGAAAGTATGAATGAACAGTTAGCAGTTGAAGTCGCATGAAGATTGTTCAAGTCTGAAGATTTTCTCCATTGACTTCAATGGTTAAAAATGTGATGAATTATGGGATGTATCTCTGGAATTATGAAAGTTATGAATGATAAAAGTAATAGCCATCGATTCCAGACCGAGCTGAACGTTTTGATGTTTGAACGGAGTTTCTGCGATGTTGAATGCAGGAGGAGAAGAGGTGCAAAGTTCCGGCGGAATAATAATAATTTTGTCCGTAGAAGAACATATAGTTGGAATGCTGTATCAGCATTCCAACTAAATTATATTTTTAATTCATACCAGAGCAGTGTGTACATAGGCCCTGTACGACATGCAGAGAACAGATCAAATCCCCTGACAGACTCACACACTTTGGTGATATCCTCATCTGATAATGTTTCATTTTTTAGCAGCAAAGTAACATTACTCAAAGTATATGTCAGACTGAAGTAAAAAGATATGATTCTACACTGTATTTTAGTGAACATGTATTGTTTGAACTGTTTTAAGTAATCACAACGGTTTTGGGTAATCATATATATAGAAAAGATATTCTCTCTTACAACTCACTGACCCAGAGATTCTGTGTCATACACACACCTTGCCTGTTTCACCCCTAAAAGCAGATGTCGTCATTAAGGTCGTTAAAGACAACATTACACCGCTCCTTATCACCCCTAAGAACAGATGTTGTTTTTTAAGGTCATTAAAGACATCGTTAAATAGGTGCAGAAAAGTTTAAATGTCTGAAAAGGGATACTTTATGTGAAAAACTCCCATGGGAAGGGGATGGAGTTAAGATCGAGGCAGAGATAAAGATTGACTTTTGACCTTATGGAACTTTGGAATTCCAAGTTCTGGTGAGAACTATTGAACTCGACCAGAAGTGAATCCAGCCAGTCAGGACACTTGGGGGAGGTGATCAGCTTACACAGCTCCTCCTCACGGACTCTCTGATTCGCTTGGGAGGAAAATGGGAAGGAAGAGTCGACACATCTCCGCCCCAAAAATAGATATGAATACTGATGTTTTTGTATGTAAAAATGCTTCTGGTCTGTTGAAAGCTGGTGCTAGAAGACGGTAAACCGCATCACAAACCTGGAGTCCATACTTCTCGTTTTCTGAAAGCTGGTCTGTCTACCTGTAAAACCGCATCACAATCCTGAAGCCCGGAGTACTCGAGTACTCTGTATAACTTGTATATGTGTTTGGTTTCCTACCAGAAGTAAACTCAGATAATTTGTTATAACTTTGATTCCGGTGTTTTCAATTCCTTTCTTAATTTAATAGAGATCCAGCCTCATCCAACGAACGGCGCGTAGCAGAGGGGGTGGCTATCAGCCAACATAAGTGTTCTGCTCCAACAAGACCCAACTCATTTACAGTATATTTTGCATCTCCTCAACAATGGTCTGTATCATTGAGTAGAAAAAAACTGTCCCCACAATTTCAGGTAGATTAACACACATTTGTAAGAAAAGTTTACAATGAAGCACAAAAACCCTCTTTGTATTAAGCTAGCTGCCACAGAAAGTACAGTTTAACATGCTAACCTTTGGTGGAGAGCTACAGTTAGCTAACTTCATGTTCAACACAAAACCTCTAATGGCATTACATTAACGATTTTAAACAAAACGAAACTCTCTCAACTTGTAAGATAACGTTAAGTTAACTTACAACTTAAATAACTACATCACGTTTTTCAGGGGAAACACAAACTGCAGAAAACGTTAGCTGCTAACTGTTGTTAGCCAAGACAGCTAGCCTCCTAGCAAACGTAAGGTTAAGTTAACATTAACGTAACGTTGAAAGA